TGATCTGATTCCTTACAAATGACTTAAAGTTTTACAATTTAGCGATGAGGTAAACACCCACCTACCATAAAGGTACTGCATTTGAGTAAAAATGGTAAAACCTTCTATAAGAAATGATTTTTAACAGCAGTAGCTAAATCCAGATAATCGTATAGAACAGAAGTGAATTTAAAAACATCAAATCACTTTACACAATCCTATTATCCAAACATCGTGACCATGGTACAGTTAAATGCTTAATCCTGATTCAAGGACAGAGTGTTCGCGATATTCAAATTTCCATTGTTAAATATATACTGTTAGTCCTGGTTGTCAGTTATGTTTGATGAACTGAAAATTACCTATAAAATCCAGTTATATTTACTTTGTTGTCTACAATCAGTTAGAAGTAACTGTGAATTGGGATATAAATATGATAAGCTGTTCTTTTGTGTGAGCAGCCTACATTCCTGGCCAAGCCGTGGTTATGGATTTATGAGGATTCAGCTGAACTTTACAGCATGCCCAGTCTGTTTTGGTTAATGAGTTTGAAAACATTTCCAATTTACATTATAAAGGGAAATTTTCCAATAGAGTTTCATAATTCACCATGCAAAGGACTAAAGCATGCCATAGGTCTAAAGCCTTGAAATAATGCTAAACTAATGTTTCTCATGTTTGCTTGTAAGTATTTTAACATTTTCAATAGGGGCATGAAGCTGGTACAATAAATGGGTGAACGCTCCACTAAAGCAGGAAAAGAATTTCATATACTTTACCAAAATATGCTGGATTTACAACAGCTAAACTTCAAAGCTAAGTATAAAACTCTGAGAGAACATGTCCAAAGTTTGATTGTTAAGGAATGGCTATATTGCAAAGGGAAAGAAAACATAAATGTTGGCTGCATTTGAGGGCCACTTCAACTCCTTATTATTTGAGGAGGGCAGGACTACATTTTATTGTTTCAAAGCAAGTCACCTTAGTTTTATCCACAAATCAGCTTTTTCATACAAAACTAGAATTTTTCAGTTCATTTTTCAAGGTCCATTGTCAAAAAACTCAGGTTTCAAGTACATCAGCATGGTCTCTCATGTGAAATTAGCCTGATTGAATCAGATAATTAGGCACATTCAATGGAATACAATTTCTGAAAAACTTAGCATCCTGGTCTGAACAAATATCTAATGGATAGATTATACAGACAAAGTATTGGAGAGTTTGATAGTCAGAAATAGCATAATAGTAGGAGTAATTTTTTTTAAACACCTATCACAGAACCCATGTCACAAGTTCCACGACAGTGTTTACTTATTGTACGTAACATATAAACTCTGCTACCCATACTCATGATTACCTCTTCAATCCTGCCATTTCATGATGTTTCTACTCTCAAGGTTTTAAAAACAATGAAGTCATCTCTGACCACTTCCCTGCATCTCTCACCATTCCAAATTTACTTCCAACTCTGCTTACCTCCAATACTCCTCTTTCCCTTTAAGGCATTTAAAACTGCATTTTCTGCTCCCCACTGCCTGCATGTTGGCTTTTCATTTAATACCCTCCTTGTATACCTGTTAATTACTTAATTACATCACATTTGATATCTCCATTTTTGGTAACCTCTCCTCTACTCTCTTCCATTCTGGTTATAACTCCTGCACAGACCCAGTTTTGAATTCCTTAAGTCTGACTTCCTGACTAACCTATTATGGTTCCCCATTTACCAGTGGCTCCAATTTAGAAATCTCAATCTCAATTTCTTATAGGATTATTCTGCTCTGTTTCGTAACCTGCACCAGCTCTACAACCCTCAGAATTTTGCATTACTCAGACTCTGTGCTCTTTCTCCCTTTATCTTCTTCCCTTTCTTTCACCTTTGAAGGCTAAGACCTACACTCATGAATTCTCTATCTCTCTGCCATTATCTCATCCTCAAAGCCCCACCATAAAATCCACTTTTTTGACGAAGTTTTTGGGCCCGTTCTAATATTTCCTTGAAATCATGCCCATTTTTGTCTGAGTATGTTTCTGTTTAGTACCTTGCAACATGTTCCTGTGTTAAAGATGCAAATTGCTGTTGGTGATACTTTTCTTATGCAAATGACACCGTGAACTGAAATATTGGGTAACTTCATCCTTATTTTTACGTATGACTATTCTTCAGTCTATTACACAGTTGTCATTGCATTCCGAAGGCATAGGGTTAAATACACTACTGATTATCATGGAACTTAGACTGTTTATAGCTCTTTTAAAGGTGTATACAAACTACTCTCTTAAAATTGCTCTTCAGTGAGACATCTCATTAATATAATTGTAACAGTAGCTTGCTAATTTATTTTTAATCCTGCAGTACAATAGCTGCTATCAGGGAACATCAAAAATACATTTCACAAGAATGAAGAAGACAATTCTAGCTTTTGCTTTTATCTACCTGTTATCTTTTTGCTTTTCCAAATATTGATACTAATAAAATATCTATTTTCTGATCATTTATTGGTACTTTGGATATTTTGATTTGAACTCTGCTCACCTCTATCTATTTCTGTAGGTCAAGTGCAATGGCTTCAACACTAGAGGGCACTGTACATTAACCTTGGCTAAGAGAAATTAAAGACAAGTTCAGTAGCATAGAGTGGTCATGAAATACTTAAATATTTATTTTGCAATTTCAGTACATGGGCTTGAACTTTAAAGTTAGGTACATTCAAATTATTTTACGCAGTCTCTCAATTCATCATTGTCATAACAAATCTGTAACCTGAGACTCCAGCACTTACCCCTACCTTTTAATGCTTTCCTCGCATACAAAATTTCTGGCCTCTAAACTGAAAAACTCATGAAACTGCTTTACAAAAAGACCCACAAAATTATACTGTTTTCTGCAGAGGGCAGCACACTAATTAACAGAAAAGAATAAAGGTGGAAAATCTTAAGCAGATGTTGTTGAAAAGCTAATTTAAAATCCTTTATATTAACACTAATATTAGATTTTCAGTAGTTGTGAAATGTGATGTTTTCTCAATATGCTGCTCACTTATATCCATGCAACCATCATGAGTGCCTCCTACTGTCTGCATTTTGCTACAGCATTTTCATAACACAGAAAAGCACATAGCTTAACTTCAGGCAAACAAGCAGGCAAGTTCTTTCAGCAAAACAAATCTGCAAATATTTGTGGTAACTAGTGAAATCCTAATTCAAACATGTTTGATGGTAATTAATGTTTGCATGTCTACAAATAAAGTGCGTAACAAATTGGCAATTTTCTTGGTAAATTAGTAAATGCTACAGTATTTAAGTTTTAAAATATTTAAATATATAACTTCACCGCAATAGAATTTGGGAGGGTACAGAAATGAGTGGCTCAAAGAACCCAATATTTTGAGCATGGAAAGCCAACTAAAGTCTTCCTCCGAAAGCGAAACATAGTTTTATACTGCACATCTTAAATTCTACATTTGAGACACTGAAAACAGAAATTTAAGAAAAAGCTCTGATATTTTAGACAGATTATTAATTATTAAAATAGGATAAGAGAAGGTTGTTAAATGATTTGTCACATAGAATGATGTGGCAGCATAAGTGCCTTTTCTGTACACTCCCAAAGCCATAATTTAAATTAACAAAGGAGGGAATAAACATCTTCCATCTGAAAATCTTTCCAAACAGTTTCAGTGGTCCTGCAACCTGAATGAGGTCAATAAATATCAAATGTAAAACTTTATCAATATATTTGTCTGTGCTGCAAATCAGGATGTGGAGGTGCCAATGTTGGACTGGGGTGGACAAAGTTAGAAGTCACATGACACCAGGTTATAGTCCAACAGGTTTATTTGAAATCACAAGTTCTTGGAACGCTGCTCCTTCATCAGGTGGAGTGGAGGGAAGAGCACAGACACAGAATTTATATGCACAGAGATAATGGCAAGATAATTCCAGATGTTTAGGGGTGTCAAAAGATAAGTACAAATAGTGACAGTGGAGTGTCAACAGCTTTAATAACAAGTCTTTGCAGGTGATCAAAAGCATCAAACGGTGTGAGTAAAGTCACTTGCTATTCAGCTGTTGAAACTTTACTCACACCATTTGACACTTTTGTTCACCTGCAAAGACTTGTTATTAAGGCTGTGAACACTCCACTCACACTATTTGTACTTATCTTTTGACACTCCTAAACACCTGAAATTATCTTGCCATTATTTCTCTGTATACAAATTCTGTGCCCGTGTGCTTCCCTCCATGTCACATGACAAAGGACAAGTGCTGCAAAAGCTTGTGATTTCAACTAAACCTGTTGGAATATAACCTGGTGTCATGTGACTTCTGCAAATCAGGAAAAGAGAAACAGCTATATTTCGTAGAATTGGAAGTTAAATTAAAACTTTTGACACCATTTACCCATAACAGCAGAAGAGGTTTACTCTGGTTTGAGAAACATATTTCTGTCTCTTCTGGTAAATTTAAGTTGAGATTAATATTAATCACCAATATTTTTCGAGCATTAACGTTCTGCACTGATGGCAACTTTGAACAAAAACTAAAAACGTGTTGATTTAGTAAGTTCTTCTGTTTAAAAAAAATGTAAGTCTTTCCTTTAGATCTGTGTTTTAGACCACTACACGACCAAAAGATAGGACAATCCCATTTTTGAGTTCTGTCATTTGCCCTCTTAATGCTGGTTGGCAGGAAGATACTCAAAAATAATACAGATAGCTTCCAGTTTTTATTTAGTGCTGCACTTGTCTTCCATAATGTACAATCTTGTGGTTTATCATGATTTTGTCTGTGGTGAGTGAAATCACTAGCAATTTATGGCTGTTGACTAACCTTTAAAGAGAAAGGAAATGATAACTAACTATCCAATCCAAAATATGGTTAAACACTGAATGCAATTGCAAGTTTTACTATTTTTGACTTCAGTTTGAGATTCAATTGTTCAACAGAATCAACACATTAAAGAGCAAAGCTTGTTTAAACCTGAACCTTTAACAGCAGTTCAGCTGTCTGTACTATACCTGGGTGGTGTTCTCCAAGACCTCGCAGCACATCGGATGGATGGACACAAACATTGTTTTTTGAGTAAATAATTTCACCATCCAAAATTCTGGAGGATCCACTTGACTGATTAAAGGTCAGAAGGTCAGAGGCTTTCGAAGATGCACGCCGCAGGAGCTGACCCAGAGACATCTCCAAGAATTTCTTTCCATCATCTGAAGTCTTCAGCCTAGTTCAAAACCAAAATATAATTTCTTAAAAACCAAATTAAAACTGACTAAAATCTCACTGAAGCATAACGACTCCAGCTCCTTAAGGAAGCTGCTGGATTCAGCTATACCTTCCATCCTGCATTCCTACTTAAACTGTGACAATATTTAAGGTTCTTTTGAAGATTCGTAGCTCAGGTTGTGGGTGAGGTTGTTGACTTGCTCACTGAACTGGCTGGCTGTAGAAATCAGGATAGCACACAAACCCACAGCCACACTATGACAAACACTCACAAGGACAAAGACTGGCGCAGTTTCAATAGGCTGAAAGGCCTTTTTTTGTGCTGTGGACCTCTATGCCCCTCTTAGGAACCTCGTCTTCTTAACAGAAGTGGGGGCAGAAGAGGTGGGTTTAGAGTGGATTGTAGAACCTATTATGGGGCAAAAGAAAGAACGGGAAAAAAAAACAGGAACGTGGAACAAACATATTACTAAGACTTGAATGTTCAAAACCATGCATTAAAATTTAAGTTTGATTCCTTTTAGAATTCAAATCCTAGAACAGATTTTTTTCATTTATTCATGGGATGTGGGCATCACTGATAGGGCAGCATTTATTGCCTGTCCCTAGTTGCCCTTGACAAGGTGGTGATGAGCTGCCTTCTTGAACTGCTGCAGTCCACTTGCTGTTGATTGACTGACAATGCCATGAGGGAGGGAATTTCAGGATTTTGACCCAGCAACAGTGAAGAAAATGGCGATATTTTTCCAAGATGGTGAGTGGTTGAGAAGGGAACTTGCAGGTGGCGTTGTTTCCACCTATCTGCTGCCCTTATCCTTTAAGTGGTTGTGGGTTTGGAAGGTGCTACCCGAGGATCTTTGGTGAATTTCTGCAGTGCATCTTGTAGATAGTACGCACTGCTGCTACTGAGTGTTGGCAGTGGAGTGAGTGGATGTTTGTGGATGTGGTGCCAATCAAGCAGACTTAGATGGTGTCAAACCTCTTGAATATTTTTGGAGCTGTATTCATCCAAGCAATTGGTGAGTATTCCATCACACACTTGACTTGTGCCTTGTAGATGATGGGATAGGCTTTGGTGAGTCAGAAGGTGAGTTACTCGCTGCATTTAAGTTTCTGGTCAATAGTAACCACCAGGATGTTGATAGCGAGGGATTCAGTGATGGTAACACCATTGAATGTCAAGGGGTGGTGGGTAGATTGTCACTTATCGGTAATGGTCAATGCCTGGCATTTATGTGGCATAAATGTTACTTGCCACTTGTCAGCCCAAGCCTGGATACTGTATTTGAATATGGATTGCTTCAATATCTGAAGAGTTGCAAATGCTGCTGAACATTTTGCAATCATTACCGAATATCCCCATTTCTAATTTTATGATGATGGGAAGGTTATTGATGAAGCAGCTGTAGATGGTTGGGCTTAGGATACTACTCAGCGGAAATCCTGCAGAGATGTCCTGGAGCTGAGTCATCTGCTGTTGCAAAGTAATGTGCTGTTCTATCAAAAATATTCATGGATTCCAAACTAAAAGCATCTCTCATTGCATAAATGTGATTTTTTTTTTATTTGCCAGTCTGAAACAGATTTGAACTACCTGTTAGCAGGGCCTAAAGGCAACTGAGTAACATGATGTGAGAATATGAAATATGGGACAAGTCTGTGCAGTCAATACATATTTACAATGGTAGTCTTCTGATTCATGAGACAATTTGTTGAACAACAAGGCACAAAGTATTGCTTGGTACAGTTCAGGAGCCACATTATGGTATAGGAATCTCTGCTGCACAGACGAAGGCACTGACTTGAGAAAGTGGAGGATTTGTTTTTTTTGGGGGGCATCTTATCAAGTAACTGAGCATTCCTTTTCTTTTTGCCTCTTCCAACAGCCCTTCGAACAGTCAGCCTCCAGGTGGTCCTGGCCATTGAATATCCAATTGTCTGGCATCAATGTCCACACATTCATGTTTCATTTGCAGTGGTCCCTATAGCAGCAGTACAAATGCCCTGGTCATAACTCAGTGGCCAGTTCACAGTACAGAAGATCTTTGGGTACACAGTTGTCAACCAATAAATGGTGGTGGCTGAGCCATCACAGGAATTGGCTTTGTAATGAATGTGGACTGATAGAGTTTGGATTTACAAGGACCTCTTAGTTGGTTCCATCATGAGATTGTGAGGATATGGTTGAAACAATACAGGTGAAAACAGGAACAAAAACAGAAAATGCTTGGAAAGCTCAGCAGATTTGGCAGCATCTGTGAAAAAAATCAGAGTGAACATTTTGGGTCCGTTGACACTTCCTTAAAACTGAGCATGGATATTGCATCCGCAGTTCTTTCGGGTTTTTTTTGAAAGGTGAAAACAGTTCAGCCTTTTCTCCAGTTAAGCTTATTTGATCCACTTCTCATTATTATGAAGGATTACAAGGAGGGCACAGGCTTGTTAGTCTTAAAGTTTGATGTTCTCTATCAGGCTTCTATTAGTCTAAATTCTCTTACTCACCTGTACATAACAACTAGAGTTTTTGTATTTTTTTTTATTTTATTAACTCTCAGGACATGGGCATCACTGCGTGGGCCAGCATTGATTGCCACTTCCTAGTTACATTTGAGAAGATGGTGATAAACTGACTTCTTGAGTCCAAGTGCTCTAGGTAGACTGAGAGGTTCCAGGGAGGCAGTTCCAGGATTTTGACCCTGCAACACTAAAGGATCATGATATAGTTCCAAGTCTGAATGGTGAATGCTTAAGTGGAACTTGCCCATGGTGGTCATCCCTTTCTAGATGGTACTGGTCGTGGGCTTAAAATGTGCTGTCTAAGAATCTTTGGAGAACTTCGCACTACATCTTGCAGATGGTTCATACTTGGTTATAATAAAGTGCCACATCAAAGGCTATTGTGGAAAATGAAAGCTCATGATGTACGGCGTAGCATATTGGCTTGGATGGAGGAGTGGCTGGCAAACAAGAAGCGGAGGCTATGCATAAATGTGCCTTCTTTAGCTTGGCAAGCTGTAACGAGTGATGTACCGCATGGAGCAGTGCTGGGAGCTCATGTTTACAATTTATTCATTCAATGACTTGGATGAAAGAATGGAAGATATGGCTATCATAAGAACATAAGAACTAGGGGCAGGAGTAGGCCATCCGGCCCTTCGAGCCTGCTCCGCCATTCAATAAGATCATGGCTGAGCTTTTCGTGAACTCAGATCCACAAATGTATCAAATCTATCAAATGTACTTATGTTACATAGGCAAGAAAAGAAGCTTTGAAGAGGAGACTACAAAAAGACATTGATAAGTGACTGGGAAAAGATCTGGCAAATTGAGCATTATGTGGAAAAATGTGAAATTGCTCATTTGAATGGAAGAATTAAAAAAACAGCATATTATCTAAATGGCGAGAGAATGTAGAGTTGAGATGCAAAGGGATCTCGATGTCCGAGGACACGAATAGCAAAAGGCTATATGCCGGTGCAAGTAATTAGGGAAGCTAATGGAATGCTATTGTTTATTACAAGGGGAAATGAATACAAAAGCAGGGAGATTATGCTCCAGTTTTACAGGGCACCGGTGAGACTATTTATGGAGCACTGAGTACAGCATTGGTCACCTTATTTAAGAAAGGATTTAAGTGCATTGGAAGCAGTTCAGAGAAGGTTTACTAGACTAATACTTGGACTGGGTGGGTTGTCTCATGAGGAAAGATTGCAGAGGCTCAGCTTTTGTCTGCTGGAGTTTAGAGCCATGAAAGAGGTGACTTGTTTGAAATATGAGATCCTCAGGTTCTTAACAGGTTGAATGTGGAGAAAATGTCTCCTCTTATGGGAAAATCTAGAATCATTGTATAAAAGTTAAGGAGTTACCCATTTAAAAGAGATGACATAAAATTCTTTCTTACAGTGGGTTATGATTCTTTGGAATTCTCTTCTCGAAAAGGCATTGAAAGCAGAGATGGATAGACTCTTGTTTGTCAGTATTGGCAGGAATGTGGATTTGAGGTTACAATCAGATCAGCCATGATCTTATTAAATAGGGAGCAGGGTCAAGAGGCTGACTGGTCTGCTCCTGTTCTTTATTTTTATTTCCTTGCCTGGTGTGATCTACATGTTACTCCACACCAACAGCAATTGGTTGACTATTAACTGAATGGAATAGCAACCTACAATTTGTACCAAACCACTAACAAAAAAAAAAATCAAAGAATAAAGCAACATGGAACTAGGCACCAGAAATGACAATGGCAAAATCAGCCTTGTTGATCTGCAAAATCGTCCTTATGAACATTTTGAGCTTCTGTCAAATTGGGAGAGCTCTTCCTGTCTAGACAAGTAATGGTGTGACAGTCTTACTCACAGAACCATATCTTATAGTCGATATCTCAGAACACCACTCTCTACAAAAAAAATCCTGTCTAACCTGCAGCCTAGTAGAGATGGCAGCACATTGGTACACATCAGCAGGGAGTTGTCCTGAGTGTCCTAAATATGGAGTCTGGACCCCATGTAGCTTCATGACATCAGGTAAAACATGTGTTAGGGAACAACCTGCTGATTACCACCTCCTGTCCTCCCTCAGCTCATGCTTCAGTACGCCATGTTGAGCACCAATTACAGGAAGAAATGAGTGTGCCAAGGGCACAGGATGTCCTCTGGTTTGTGGCGTTTAATGTCCATCAGCAGAAGTAGCTTGATAGCGTCACGAATGAGTTGTCGGAGTCATTATGAACATATCTGCCAGAGGTGGCCTGTGGCAGATGGTAGAGGAACCAATAAGGTGAAAACCTACTAGACCAGATACTCATCAATGTACCTATCATAAATACATCTGCCCATGTGGCATAGAATAGAATAGATTCAGAATAAACCAGAGTTCAAAATTGGGCCACGAGCAGCACTGTATTCAGCCATAATTTGTAAAATGACAGTCGGCATATTCTGCATTATCCTATTACCTTCAAACCAAGGATCAACGTAGTTCATTAAAGACTAGAGGACATACCAGCAGTAGAACCAGCAGGACTACCTGCACGCCAAATACCACAAGTAGTATCCACTAGATAGAACTAAGTGATTCCACAACCAATGGATCACATCAGAGCTCTAGTCTACTGCCATGACCACTTGTGGATTAATCAAGAGGGAAAGAAGACTCCATCAATATCCTCATTCTTGATGACAGTGGAGCCTGGCACATCAGTGCATACAACAAGGCTGAAACATTTGTAGCCAATGTGAGCAAGCTGATAGAGTGTCGATCCAAAAAAACTGCATCTCACTGAAAGACAAGTATAGATTATGCACTGTATTCGTGTTGCACCATTTGTCTCCAACTCTGTTTTCACTCTTCACTTTGCCTGTGAGACACATCTCCCTTGCTCAACATGCCTACGAGAGATGCTCCTTTACCAACTTACACAACTTATATGACTCACTTTTTAGAAAAAATCTAAGGGCAGTTGGGAGCAATGTTGGTATGTGAAACAGTCCCTCTTCCACTGCTACTCTGGCACTATCCCCATCTCTTTCTCCACTACATCGATGACTGTATTGGTGCAGCCTCGTGCTCCCACGAGGAGTTTGAACAGGTCAGTTATGTTTTTTCTTCTTGTTGTTTCCCTCACTACCTGCGGCAGACCCAGCCTAGCAACTGTGTCTTTTAGGACCCGACCAGATTGATCAGTAGGACTGCTGCCGAGCCACTCTTGTTGGTGGACATTGAAATACCCCACCCAGAGTGCATTTTGTGCCTTTGCCATCCTCAGTGCTTCCTCTAACTGTTGTTCAACATGGAGGAGTACAAATTCATCAGCTGAGTGAGGACGGTATGTGGTAATCAGCAGAAGGTTTCCTTGCCCATGTTTAACGGAATCCACAAGACTTTGTGGGGTCCAGAGTAAACGTTGAGGACTTCCAGAGCAACTCCGTCCCGTCTGTATACCACTATGCCACCACCTCTGCTGGATCTGTCCTGCCAGTGGTACAGGACCTATCTAGGGATGGTGATGGCAGTGTCTGCGATATTGTCTGTAAGTTACGTTTCCGTGAGTGTGGCTATGTCAGGCTGTTGTTTGACCAGTCTGTGAGACAGCTCTCTCAATTTTGGCACAAGCCCCCAGATGTTAGTGAGGAGAACTTTGCAGTGAGGAAGGTCAACAGGGCTGTTTCTGCCATTGTCTTTACCTGTGCCTAGGTTGATGCCTGGTTATGGGTCTGGTTTCATTTCTTTGAGACTTTGTAGCAATTGGTACAACTGAATGGCTTGTTAGGCCATTTCAGAGGGCAACTGAGAGTCAACCACATTGCTGTGGATCTGGAGTCACACGTAGGTCAGACCAGATGAGGATGGCAGATTTCCTTCCCTGCAGGTCGTTAGTGAACCAGATGGGTTTTTCCGACAATCAACAATGGTTTCATGGTCATCAGTAGATTCTTAATTCCAGATTGTTTTAAATTTTTTTTAATGAATTCAAATTCCACCATCTGCCATGTGGGATTCCAATCTGGGTCTCTGGGTTAATAGTCCAGTGATAATACCACTAGGCCGTCACCTTCCCCCAATCTCAGTAGTGTGATCTTTCCTCATTCCAAATTAGAGATCAATAGCCACCAAAGCTACTTGATCACCAAGCGCACTGAAATATGCACCCACACAGCAATCCAGGAAATGAAACCACAGAATCCCTTCATCACAATTTTCGTTTTTATGGATAGCAAAATAAATTATTAGAATTGACACAGCACTTTAAGATTAAAGTTAAAAGAGCAACTTGAAATTAAAGTATGGAATACTATAATGGAGAAATTTGACATTTGAAAATAAAATTAATATTTCAGGACCAACGGGTTTTTCAGCAGTATTTATGAATTTATAGATTTAATGCCTTGTTACATGTCAATCAACAAGATAACAAGATGTAAATTTTTCTGGAATTTTTGCCATAGATGCAATAGTGAAAGTTCTTGCAAGTCACTGATTTCCCATAGATTGCAGTCTATGGAAAATCCTTGCAGCTCACCTTCTAAAGAAGCATGGAATTACTCTCAGCTACTTCGGAAGTTCAGCAAGCGTGGACTCTAGAAGTTGCTAATAGTTTCAGAGGAGTAATGGTGATATTTACTAGCAGTTTTGCTGTAATTACTACAGCAAAATTTGAGCCAATATCTTATAAAGGGAGGACGGAATGAATACTTACAATCTGAAGTCTTTTCCTTAGTAAAGAGTTTTGTCATCTGAAATAAAACAAAAGGAGCTATCTGTTGCTAGACATGCCACAGTCAGTAGACTGACAACTTCATGGATCTCCAGCAGATTACCAGTAACTGAATTTTTGATTTAATCAGAAAATCGAATATTAAGGAATTTTGTGAAAGTGCTTTATACTGAAAACTTGATTCAAACATCATAAATGTTCTTACAACAACCCATTTATCGATTGTTTCTTTAACTTGATGATTTGTAAATCATTCTGAGCAGATACCTCTGCCTCCTACGCACTTACATTTTCTTCTCACAACTCTGGTCATTCTTCTGCATTCCCTCCATTAATCAATCTCTAATGTTCAACACATTCAGTGTTTTGGGAGTACAAGTAGTAAAGGATGCAATTAATTCAAACGTGACCTTAATGAAAGGTGCAGCAGGCTCAATAGGCCACATGGCCTATGATAGCTACAATTATTTGTTTTTGCCTATTTCAGCTTCAATAATATTATTCGACACCATCTCTGCCTGAGTTCATCTTCTGCTGAAATCTTAATCTAAACTTTTTTGTTATCTCTGTGCTTCATCATTTCAACAGGCTCCCAGTTAGCATCCCACTTATAAACTCAGGTCATCTAAATCTCAGCCTGTGTTCTAACCCCCACCAATTTCCATTCAGCTATCACTCCTCTTCTAAGCTTTTGCTGACCTACTTTGGCTCACAATTAAACAAAACCTCAATATTAAAATTCTAATCCTTTGTTTGCAAGTTGTTTCTTGGCTCATCCCTCCATATCTCTGTAACCTTGTCCAGGCAGGAGTTGTGAAGAGGACATAAGCAGCCTACAAAGTGATATAGATAGGTTAAGTGAGTAGTAAAAGGTCTGGCAAATGAAGTACAATGTGGGAAAGTGAAATGTCCATTTGACAGAATTTTTAAAAAGCATATGCTCTAAATAATGAGAGATTAGAGCTCCGAGATGCAGAAAGGTCTGGGTGTCCTAATGCATGAATCCACTGAAGGTTAGTACGCAAGTACAACAAGTAATCAGGAAAGTTAATAGAATATTACAGCTTATTGTAAAGGGAATTGAATGCAAGAATAAGAAGGTTACACTTCAGCTTTACAGGGTATTGGTGAGACCACATCTGAGAGTACTGTGTGCAGTACTGGTCACCGAACTTAAGGGAGGATGTTAATGCATTGGAAACAGTTCAAAGAATGTTGCTTGATATTGTAATTGTCCACCTTGAATGGATTGCCTTATGAGGGTAGGCTAGACAGGCTAGGCCTGTAGCCTCTGGAGCTCAGAGTCAGAGGTGACTTAATTGAAACATAGAGGATCTTGAGGGGGCTTGAATTGACGAATGTTGAAAGGATGTTTCTTGTGGCAGAATCTGGAACTAGGGATCATAGTTTGTGAATAAGGGGTTGCCTATTTAAGACAAAGATGAGGAAACATTTTTTTCTCAGATGGTTGAGTCTCTTTGGAATTCCCTTCCTCAAAAGGCAGTGGATGCAGAATATTTAAGTATTTTTAAAACTGAGCTTGACAGGTAGACAGATTCTTGATTACCAAGAGAGTGACAGTTTATCAGGGATATTCAGGAATGAAGAGTTGAAGTTCAAATCAGAGCAGCCATGGTCTGATTGAATGACGGAGAAGGCTCAAAGAGCCAAGTGGTCTGCCATTATTCCTTGATTGTATTTTTGTAGAATCTGTGCTCTTCTAATTCAGGCCCCTTGAGTATCCATGATATAAATTTCTCAACAACAATTGATGGCTATTCCTTCACTGCCTAAACTGCCCTCTCTCCCAGAGACAGTAAGAGCTACAGATGCCGGAGTCAGAGATAACACAGTGTCGAGCTAGAAGAACACAGCAGGCCAGGCAGCATCAGAGGAGCAGGAAAGTTGATGTTTCAGGTCGGGCCCTATCTTCAGAAATGGAGGGGGGAAGGGGAGGGGAGCTCAGAAATAAAAGGAAAGAGGAGGGGTGGGTTTGGGGAAGGTAGGTGGGATGGTGATAGGTGAGTGCAGGTAGGGAGTGGTAGGGATTGGTCAGTGAGGTGGGAGGGGCAAATAGTTGGGAGAGAAGATGGACAGGTTGTGTCAGGTCAAGGAGGTGGGGATGAGAGGGAGGGTTGGTCAAGGGATGAGGCCAGGGGTGGGGAGATTTTAAAACTGGTAAAATCCATATTTAGGCCATTGGGCTGTAGGCTCCCAAGGTGAAATATGAGGTGCAGCTCCTCCAGTTTCCAGGTGGCATCATTGTGACACTGGACGAGGCCAAGAATGGACACGTCACCCAGGGAGTGGGAGGGGGAGTTGAAATGGTTTGCGACCAGAGGGTGTTGTCGTTTGTTGCGAACAGAGCGCAAGTGCTCTACAAAACGGTCTCCGAGACTCCGCTTGGTCTCACCGATGTAGAGGAGGCCACATCGGGAGCAGCGGATGCAGTAGACCACATTGACGGATGTGCAGGTGAACCTCTGTCTAATGTGGAAGGTTTGTTTGGTGCCTTGAATGGAGGGGAGGGGGGAAAAAATTGGAAGTAAAACAAAAAAAGTTAGAAATTCTCAGCAATTCACGCACCTGCAGAGAAACAGAGTTAAAACTTCAGTTCAACAACCTTTCATCGGAACAGAAGGAAGACTGAAACATAAGAGTTTTTATCAGGATGGATTAAAGGGAATTTCTATTATAGCATAACAGGATAGAGAGTAGGTGAATTAATTAATAAAATACTTAATATGCAAATGGCAAAAACAGTGATAATTGATAAATTAGTGAAACAAAGATTGTGCCCAGATAAGGCTTGAATGGCTATGTAGCAGCCATCGTAATGAAACATGAAGGGATATAAAGGAACAAGGCAGCAAAAAAAAATAAGAAAAAAAAATAAGATGGAAGCAGAGGCTATGATCTAAAGTTGTTGAACTCAATGTAGAGTGTTGAGATGAAAGATAGTGTTCTTGAGTGGGTGTTGATCTTCCCTGGAACATTGTAACAGGCATTGGATAGAAAGGTCAGAATGGGAGCAAGGTGGACAATTAAAATAACAAGCAACAGGAAGCTTCACTGAGAATAAAGGAAGATATGTCAGAACTGATGCAACAGAAAAATTACGTGACTTGATCGGAATCCCTACAAGAACTAGGATGTGAGGACATGTAGGTCAAAGTAGCTGTGGAGTCTGAGAGTTTGTACTGAACATTAGTTGATAACATATCACCAGAAAAGGAGGTAGAGAAGTGGGGGAGGAGAGGAGTCAATGATGGACAAGGTAAAGGTGACAGAAGGGTGGAAATTGGAAACACATTCAAATACATTTTCCAGCCCATGGCACGAGCAGAAGGTGGCACTTATACAGTTCATATAGTCAGTCTTAGTGATGTCATGTATATGTGGTCAGGAGCTGAAATAGAACATCAAGATTTTGAGTGATCTTTCAGTCTCAGATAGTTGCCTGGGAGATGAACGGAGTCCGTGGTCAGGGAGCAGACTGTGTATCACAGACCTAAGTCAATGCTTTGCATCTTTCTTCAGTTAAATATTGGGAAATTTCTGCCTCGCCTGAACTGTATGTTGGACAAGCATCAGAAAATCATAAGTAGCATGATTTGACTGAGCTCTAATCTTTGTCACCAAATGTGTTGCAAAATTTCCACTTATTAAGCAACATAACTATAAACAAATAATACAGCAATTGAATGCCATCCCAAATTATCACTGAACGACCTGTGAGTCCAAAGTTGCGATGAAGCATGAATTTGCACAACCAATTCCAAACCAGTTCAAACCTCAGATGTCAGATATTGCTAAGAACACTTCAGAATCCAAAGAGACAGTGACATAATTTGAAACCAACCCATAACATACAATGCCACAAGTTCAACCTCTTATGCACCCACAAATTCAGTCATGGAATCAGATTTAATGTGTGCGTAGCCACATATCACCAAAAACAGAGTTCCCTAGTGCGGAAGCATACCATACAGAAAGTAACACTCAGATATGCTTTAGCCTTCATAAAAAAACTGGAGTAATGCTTCAATTCAGAGCTTATAACATCACAGACACAACTGAAGCAAATAAAACGGCATCACCCTTGACAAATATCCTCAACTATTGCATAATATGGACAAAGTCTTCTAAGGATCAGTAGGAAATAAAAATTAATCTCTGCTATGGCTATCAGTTTAAAATAGACAATATCCACTTCATTGTCTATTTCAAAATAGATGATCCATATGCTGAGAAAAGCTTGTATTTTCTTTTGCACCATGTCCCCTTTAGACCAAAGTGGGATGGGGAGTATTCTGAAGCAGAGTTAATTACTTTAATGATCAAGACATCATTAAGTTCCAAGAAATGCCCATATTATCCAAGGCTCCCAAAGGGATGAACACCTAGGTTTAAAGGGTAAACAGGAGGCTAATTACAGTTAGGTTGGAGCAGCCGGTTTTTCTCATTTGGCAGTTCAGAACATATTGAGAAAAGAAATAAGCAAGGTTCTCTCTGATTGGACATTTTGTGTTTGGCAGTCTTAGAACAGAGAGTAGAACAAAAACAGTCTCACTGTATGTGTTATCAAAGAGTAAAGAAGGGAAAGGGATTGTAGGTTGGACAGGAGCCATTACTGCTGTTTCAGTGTTGCCAACAACGACCACACCATTTCAAAAAGTTGGAGATGCAAGTCTCTGGGGATTCTGTGCAATCGGGACTGTCATGAGAGAGTGCTCATAGAAGTGATTCTTGCTGCTGGCAACATGTTTGGATGGAATATCACTTGAGGGCTGAAATGATTGAGTGGAAGCGAGAAATCTTATAGAGCAGAAGCCGAGTTGGAAAGGCTGTGAGATTGCATGTGGTCGACCATTTGTTTGGGATGTAATGACAGTGTTTGTAACTATGTGAGCCATATCTTTGTTGTGTTGTTTATTCAAAGCAAAAAATTTACCTTCTTATTTGTAATACTGTACACCTGCTAACTTAGTGCTTGAATTATTTTGAATCCAGTTGGTCTGTTATAAAAGTTATGAAAGTTATAAAAAGTGAAACCTTGTCCGTCTGTTTTCTTTTTATTCGCTCATAAAAGTAAGATACTGCAGATGCTGGAAAACAGAACATTAAGACAGAAATCCTGAAAAATATTTACAATGCAGGCAGCATCTATGAAGAGAAACAGAACTAACCTTTCAACATTTCAGATTTCAGGCTGCCTGACCTGCTATGTACTTCCAGCACTATTCCAGCAGTATTTTCAGTTCACGTTCTATTTGACTATTTAGCATTTTTTACATCATACCCCTGAAACTATTTAACATTTTAGGCAGTGGTCGTCATTATAATGACTTGAGACATGAACTTTGTTGCAGTTTGACCTGACGAGCATTTCCAGCTTTTTGTTTTAATCTCATTGGTTGACTTATTGGCTATATAATTGGTAATAGTGACATACTTTGAAATGAATTCCTTTCCTGTTTATAACATTCACCAAAATTGTATAAGGTGACTACTTTCTTGAAAGCAATTTAATTTGGGAGACTGAAGCATAGATATTAGTTGTTGATTAAACATTAAAATGAGCAGAAAGCTCATAGCAAATGCTGTGTAACCTTACAATGATGTCACAGAGTTATTTAAATTGCACAGTATAGATTGAAGATGGGAGTTGGATAGAACTTCAGAGTGTAGCAAGAAGTACATGTAGATAACAGTCTCTTAATGTAACAATGAGTTCAGAACCTGTGGCATCATCTGACATAGTCTGAAGGAATGCCTAACTGAATGAGGAAAAAGGAGATGGATGTGTTAATTGGGTGTGAACTGACTGAATATATATGGGGAGCCAGTAATCAGTGGGGTGAAAGTTTTGTGGAGTGTGGTTAACTGAAATAAAACTGTGGACTTGAATTCTGTTTAAATACAGTTATCTTCTTGTGTATAACAACTTGGTATATTTTAGATTACCATGCATGCTTATATGTAGTGTTAACATGCATTAAATAGAATTCTACAGATGACTAACCTTGGATACAGATCTTGACTTTGCCTTCTCCCTCCCTCTTGAAAACAAACTCTCAGGTGTGGCCCTAAAACGACATGATAAAAGAATGAAGTCAAAATTTGTTCCCAGAGTTCTATCAATTTTATTTGAGAACCATCAGTTAGGCTAGCCTTCCAAGTAAATACAAATTCTGAAGTTGAAAAAGTCCTGTTTTCTTCTAGTCACTTGTGGGACGGTGTTGCTGGCCGGCCAGCATTTTTTGCCCATCCCTGTTGCCCTTGAGAAGGAGGGCTGTGAGCTGCCTTCTTGAACTGCTGCAGACCATCTGCTGTACGTAGACCCACAATGCCCTTGGGAAGGGAGTTCCAGGATTTTGACCTGGTAACAGTGAGGGAATATTTCCAAGTCAGAATGGTTAGTGGTTTGGTGGGGGACTGCTAGGTGGTGGTGTTCCCAAGAATCTGCTGCCCTTGTCCATTTGGATCAAAGTGGTTATGGGTTTGGAAGGTATTGTCTAAGGATCTTTGGTGAATTTCTGCTATGTATCTTGTAGATACTACACACTGCTGCTATGGAGCGTCAGTGGTGGGGTAGTGGATGTTCTGGAAATATGGTAGCAAACAAGTCAGCTACTTTGTCTTGGATAGTGTCAAGCTTCTGGAATGTTGTTGGAGCTGCACCAAGCCAGGCAAGTGGGGATTATTCCTTCACACTCCTAGTTTATGCCTTGTCAATGGTGGACAGACTTTGGGGAGTCAGGAGATGAGTTATTCGTTGCAGTATTCCTAGCCTCTGACCTGCTCTTGTAGCCACTTTGTTTACGTGGTGATACCAGTTGAGTTTCTGGTCAGTGATAACCCCAGTATGTTGAAAGTGGAAGATTCAGTGATGGTACCACCATTGAATGTCAAGGAGCAGTGGTTAGATTGTCTCTTATTGGAGGTGGTCATAGCCTGCCATTTGTGTGGCACCAATGTTATTTGCCACTTGTCAGCACAAGCCTGGATATTCTCCAGATCTTGTTGCATTTAACATGGACTGGCTTCAGTATCTGAAGAGTTGCAAATGGTGCAGAACATTGTACAATCACTGGCAAATATCCCAGTTCTGACCTTAGGAAGGAGGGAAGTTGATGAAGCTACTGAAAATGGTTGGGCTTAGGAGACTACCCCGTGGAACTCCTGCAGAGATGCCCTAGAGCTATTGATGACTGACCTCCAACAACCTTCTTCCTTTGAGCCAGGTATGATTCCAATCAACAGAGAGTTTGCCCCATGATTTCCATTTTTAAATCGAGAAAAACCCTTACATCACTTCAGAAGTCATGTATGCATTCATCTTCTCATCAAGACAGAAACACAGGAGAGCTATAGTTTGCATCAAATAAAAAAGATCTTTCAGTGATAATGCCAAAGCAAATTAAATTAAAATCATGCAGGTTTAGACAAAAACAAATAAGGACATTTGATACAATCATTTTACAGTAGAAATGCAATTGAAATAACTTTGCCAGATGAACTAAATTGGAAGAAGCTATAGAGTTAAATTGCAAATAAAATCTCATTGAAAGGCACAACAGGCTTGAGGGGCTAAAATTGCCTACAATAGTTTCCTCTTGGAAACTTGAATAACTAGTCAAACAATGCGCTGAACTTATAACCTAAGAAAATGAAGTTCCAACTAGAAAAGTGTAATTTTTCAACAGTATTGCAAAGAAGATGATGGAGGACTTAGAATTATTTGATTAAGGGCTCTCAATTTCCTATTACTAAATAGACACATTAGACATTGCTATTAAGAGAGACATTTTGCAGAAGTTTTTTATCTTGTAGTCATTGGTACATGCAAGAACGCCAAATTTCAAACTATCTCAACAATTTGTACTGCAGGAGAAAAGGTTACTGACTAGTGACAAGCGAACTCTTATATGTTAAGGCATTGGCATGGAGAAACTAATGAGGAACTATTGGCTCCCCAAGCTCCCAAGTAATTCACGTTTGCATATTCCATTGCTTATAAAAAATGGAACCCTGCATGTGAATATACGTCACTTCTAGCAAGCATAAATGATTTGTTACAAGCTTGACAAATTACCTTTGTTAGCATAGATATTAGCATACTTGGCACTGTTAGGCAAGTGATGTCCAAATCTCAAATCACATTGAATATACATTTTGTTTTTGGTTTTGCAGGCACAGGCTGGCTGGGTATAGTGGGTTCTCTGCCTATTAAGAAGTCATAGAGTCACACAGCATGGAAACAGACAGGTCAGACCAATTCGACTCCACTGACCAGAAATCCCAATCTGACCTAGTCTCATTTGCCAGCATTTGGCACATATCCCTGAAAATCCATCCTACTCATACCCATCCAGATGCCTTTTAAATGTTGTAATTGTACCCACCTCCACCACTTCCTCTGTCAGCTCATTCCTGTTCGGCTTTGTCTGCTAAGTATAGTCTCTCAGTTCTGATGTCAGCCTCATGGATTTTTTTCATCCTCACTAAAACCTCAATAACTTTTCTATAATATGGAGGCCAGAAGTGTACATTATACCAAGGACTGTTTAACCAAGATTCAACACAAGTTTTACAGAGTGAAGATAATCATGATCAAACAGAAAATAAAGTTGAATGAGAGAAAAGAGGTAGCTCACCTGGGAACAAATGAAGGGAATTTTAGTAGCCATTGAGAAGAAAATGGAACTGAAGATGAAAATTATACAGAGGTAAGAAATCAAAAACAGTAGAGGTGACAAATTAAATAAACTATAAATAAAGGCCATGGAGATGCGAGAAATAAAGTGAAATTGATACTGAAGTTTAAAATACAATAGATCACAGCAATAAAGCCTACAAGCTTGTAGAGATCATTGTCAGTAAATTTTAAGACCAAGACTACAAACCCCATCCATGTGACAATGAGCTTTTATTTAATAGTGTATACAGGGTCTGCATAATCACAAGTAGGAAGCCTCACTTTAAAAGAAAATCAATACTGGAATTAAAAAAGCAGCTTGTCAATAATAACCGAGATCATGTATTGATTGAAGAACATGTAGAATGTCGTAGTAGTGCTAATAAAGCATTTCTTGGATTAGCCTGGGTATTATGACCAGAGGCTCAGCTGTTTTTATAGTGCATCTCATTAAAGGTGACTGGGACACACTAATTTTGCAACAATTAGAATTATTGCACAGAAGACAGTTCTTCCTTCCTTGGAAATGGTATTCTGCAACAGAGTATCACTGATTGTTAGGGCAGCCTTCAAACTATATAATACTGAAGACATGTTGAAATTTTCGAAGAAAATTGCATCACTGTTTATTTATTTCCTCTCCAAACTTTTCCAGTACTTTTCTCTTTTGAAGATAATGATTTATGTTGGAATAGTTTCCTAGCTGTTGGGATTGCCCTGACACTTGCCCAGCTGGACATTCATCAAGTGAGCCAGAACAGCACATATGTACGTGAGCCATTTCAGTGTGGACGGAATGCTTGCTCTCAATCCCACTAGCAGTTAAGTACAAGACCATGGCTAACACCTCTTTGTAGTCCAAGTATGACAACCAGTCCATCACCAACAGAGATTAATTTACTTAGCACAAAGCAGAGCCTGACTTAACGACAGATTCTCCTTGTTTTATGGTTCAGTGCCATCCTGCACATTCATTTACTGGGTACTCAAGCAACCATTGGCTATTTGTGAAAACTGCATCAATATGAAATCCAAATAACAACAACTTGTTGACAAAATAAAAATTACTAGGCCTAATTATTTAAGGCCACTTGCCACATGATTATTACTCAGCCATAATGAGCATGGTAATATAAAATATATGTTAATGCTGATCAGCCAACATGGGATTTGCTTCTGCTGATTGAAACTTAGTTTTCCAAGCTATCCAGTCTTCCTGCAAACCACGAAAATTAATGCAGACAAAAAAAATCTTCCAGTTACCACAACAGTACTGTTTGGAATGCAAATTTCAATATTCGGAGATTTTTAATAGTCAAATTAGGTCTTTAGGTGTCTGTGTCACGAAAAGATAGTCCACAATAAATATCCTGACAATAACCTCCCTGTAGTAATGTTATAACCTTGCAAAACAAAGACCAAGCATGTATACACCCCCAAAATAGGCACCATAAAAGAATTAATCTTGCCCATTGAAAAGATTCAAATATAACCCAACAGTGGAGGGAAGGATCCTGGCCTCAAAGCTTACAGCATTATTACACCAACATTGAATAAAGGTAGATCTTAAGTGCTCCAGCTTTGTACAATGCTTTCTTTCCATACAGTTTCTTAGATGCAGAGGAGAAGAAAAAATTGATTGAGTGATTGTGGTGAGAAGCAGGATAGCGGCAGGTGGTGATGGGTGGGGAAGCAGGAAGGAATCAGAGAGCTTGATGTGTTAAGAAACTTTTTTCATTTTCCACAGATGTTAGTTCCTTAAAATATTGTAACCTTGAGTAATTCCTGCAGAATGGAATAGATTGCAACCATCCATTCAAATTAAGGTAAATACTTGATGAATTCCAGGATATGGACATGCAAAAATCTATATGGTCCCCTCAAAGTAAACAGCTGAGCAGGTTGATTTCTTGATCAAAGGCTTCTTTCACAGAGGCACCCATTCTTCTTCTGGAACTTCAGACAGCAGCACTCTGTCAAAACATTGGAACACTTTATGACAAGAGAAGATGGAGATATTGTCAGGCAGTGGGAATGCCTCAAAGTCCAATTTGGTCAAAACCCTGCTGCCTTTCCTAACATCACAACACAAGCTTCATCAAAAGTACATTAATGGAACAGTTTATTGTGCTGCAGGAATAAAGGAGTTGAAGAAACGACCATTTCCATAAATTCATTAGCATGGCTAGTTACATGTAAGTGCTTTAATCTTTCAGTGGTTTTACAATTTCAGACATTAAAAGCACTTCAAGCCAAGAAGACATTCCTACTATCTCTGAAACAATTGTTTTATCCAGGCTGTTTATATGTCTCCTCTTAACCAAGTTAGAAACTTAATGACAGGTATCTAACAATTGCCTGTTGACGCTCTAAATCATTTTGAAAACA